CACTTTTTAAAAATCATTTTAAAAAAATCTAAAAAAGTTCCCTGACTGATTTCACTGCAAACTTGTTCACTGGGATGCCCTCTACCACTGTGTAAAATATCATTCACTTTTACTGTAGAAATCCAGAGAAAATGGGGGTCAAAGTGTGCCATTTTGGTCCCAAAAGCACTTTTTAAAATTCATTTTAAAAAAATCTAAAAAAGTTCCCTCACTACTTTCACTGCACACTTGTTCACTGGGATGCCCTTTACCACTGTGTAAAATGTCATTCACTTTTACTGTAGAAATCCAGAGAAAATGGGGGTCAAAGTGTGCCATTTTGGTCCGAAAAGCACTTTTTTAAAATTCATTTTAAAAAAAACTAAAAAAGTTCCCTCACTACTTTCACTGCACACTTGTTCACTGTGATGCCCTTTACCACTGTGTAAAATATCATTCACTTTTAATGTAGAAATCCAGAGAAAATGGGGGTCAAACTGTGCCATTTTGGTCCCAAAAGCACTTTTTAAAATTCATTTTAAAAAAATCTAAAAAAGTTCCCAGACTACTTTTACTGCACACTTGTTCACCAGGATGCCCTCTACCACTGTGTAAAATATCATTCACTTTTACTGTAGAAATCCAGAGAAAATGGGGGTCAAAGTGTGCCATTTTGGTCCCAAAAGCACTTTTTAAAAATAATTTTAAAAAAATCTAAAAAAGTTCCCTGACTGATTTTACTGCAAACTTGTTCACTGGGATGCCCTCTACCACTGTGTAAAATATCATTCACTTTTACTGTAGAAATCCAGAGAAAATGGGGGTCAAAGTGTGCACAAGTGGTCCCAAAAGCACTTTTTAAAATTCATTTTAAAAAAATCTAAAAAAGTTCCCTGACTAATTTCACTGCACACTTGTTCAACAGGATGCCATCTACCACTGTGTAAAATATCATTCACTTTTACTGTAGAAATCCAGAGAAAATGGGGGTCAAAGTGTGCACAAGTGGTCCCAAAAGCACTTTTTAAAATTCATTTTAAAAAAATCTAAAAAAGTTCCCTCACTACTTTCACTGCACACTTGTTCAACAGGATGCCCTCTACCACTGTGTAAAATATCATTCACTTTTACTGTGGAAATCCAGAGAAAATGGGGGTCAAAGTGTGCACAAGTGGTCCCAAAAGCACTTTTTAAAAATCATTTTAAAAAAACTAAAAAAGTTCCCTTACTACTTTCACTGCACATTTGTTCACTGGGATGCCCTTTACCACTGTGTAAAATATCATTCACTTTTACTGTAGAAATCCAGAGAAAATGGGGGTCAAAGTGTGCCATTTTGGTCCCAAAAGCACTTTTTAAAAATCATTTTAAAAAAATCTAAAAAAGTTCCCTGACTGATTTCACTGCAAACTTGTTCACTGGGATGCCCTCTACCACTGTGTAAAATATCATTCACTTTTACTGTAGAAATCCAGAGAAAATGGGGGTCAAAGTGTGCCATTTTGGTCCCAAAAGCACTTTTTAAAATTCATTTTAAAAAAAACTAAAAAAGTTCCCTCACTACTTTCACTGCACACTTGTTCACCAGGATGCCCTCTACCACTGTGTAAAATATCATTCACTTTTACTGTAGAAATCCAGAGAAAATGGGGGTCAAAGTGTGCCATTTTGGTCCCAAAAGCACTTTTTAAAATTAATTTTAAAAAAAACTAAAAAAGTTCCCTGACTACTTTCACTGCACATTTGTTCACTGGGATGCCCTTTACCACTGTGTAAAATATCATTCACTTTTACTGTAGAAATCCAGAGAAAATGGGGGTCAAAGTGTGCCATTTTGGTCCCAAAAGCACTTTTTAAAAATCATTTTAAAAAAATCTAAAAAAGTTCCCTCACTACTTTCACTGCACACTTGTTCACTGGGATGCCCTTTACCACTGTGTAAAATGTCATTCACTTTTACTGTAGAAATCCAGAGAAAATGGGGGTCAAAGTGTGCCATTTTGGTCCCAAAAGCACTTTTTAAAATTCATTTTAAAAAAAACTAAAAAAGTTCCCTCACTACTTTCACTGCACACTTGTTCACCAGGATGCCCTCTACCACTGTGTAAAATATCATTCACTTTTACTGTAGAAATCCAGAGAAAATGGGGGTCAAAGTATGCACAAGTGGTCCCAAAAGCACTTTTTAAAATTCATTTTAAAAAAATCTAAAAAAGTTCCCTGACTGATTTCACTGCACACTTGTTCAACAGGATGCCCTCTACCACTGTGTAAAATATCATTCACTTTTACTGTGGAAATCCAGAGAAAATGGGGGTCAAAGTATGCACAAGTGGTCCCAAAAGCACTTTTTAAAATTCATTTTAAAAAAATCTAAAAAAGTTCCCTGACTGATTTCACTGCACACTTGTTCAACAGGATGCCCTCTACCACTGTGTAAAATATCATTCACTTTTACTGTAGAAATCCAGAGAAAATGGGGGTCAAAGTGTGCACAAGTGGTCCCAAAAGCACTTTTTAAAAATCATTTTAAAAAAAACTAAAAAAGTTCCCTGACTACTTTCACTGCACACTTGTTCACTGGGATGCCCTCTACCACTGTGTAAAATATCATTCACTTTTACTGTAGAAATCCAGAGAAAATGGGGGTCAAAGTGTGCCATTTTGGTCCCAAAAGCACTTTTTAAAATTCATTTTAAAAAAAACTAAAAAAGTTCCCTCACTACTTTCACTGCACACTTGTTCACCAGGATGCCCTCTACCACTGTGTAAAATATCATTCACTTTTACTGTAGAAATCCAGAGAAAATGGGGGTCAAAGTGTGCCATTTTGGTCCCAAAAGCACTTTTTAAAATTAATTTTAAAAAAAACTAAAAAAGTTCCCTGACTACTTTCACTGCACATTTGTTCACTGGGATGCCCTCTACCACTGTGTAAAATATCATTCACTTTTACTGTAGAAATCCAGAGAAAATGGGGGTCAAAGTGTGCCATTTTGGTCCCAAAAGCACTTTTTAAAAATCATTTTAAAAAAATCTAAAAAAGTTCCCTGACTGATTTCACTGCAAACTTGTTCACTGGGATGCCCTCTACCACTGTGTAAAATATCATTCACTTTTACTGTAGAAATCCAGAGAAAATGGGGGTCAAAGTGTGCCATTTTGGTCCCAAAAGCACTTTTTAAAATTCATTTTCAAAAAAACTAAAAAAGTTCCCTCACTACTTTCACTGCACACTTGTTCACTGGGATGCCCTTTACCACTGTGTAAAATATCATTCACTTTTACTGTAGAAATCCAGAGAAAATGGGGGTCAAAGTGTGCCATTTTGGTCCCAAAAGCACTTTTTAAAATTCATTTTAAAAAAAACTAAAAAAGTTCCCTGACTACTTTCACTGCACACTTGTTCACCAGGATGCCCTCTACCACTGTGTAAAATATCATTCACTTTTACTGTAGAAATCCAGAGAAAATGGGGGTCAAATTGTGCACAAGTGGTCCCAAAAGCACTTTTTAAAATTAATTTTAAAAAAAACTAAAAAAGTTCCCTGACTACTTTCACTGCACACTTGTTCACTGGGATGCCCTCTACCACTGTGTAAAATATCATTCACTTTTACTGTAGAAATCCAGAGAAAATGGGGGTCAAAGTGTGCCATTTTGGTCCCAAAAGCACTTTTTAAAATTCATTTTCAAAAAAACTAAAAAAGTTCCCTCACTACTTTCACTGCACACTTGTTCACTGGGATGGGCCCTTTACCACTGTGTAAATTATCATTCACTTTTTACTGTAGAAATCCAGAGAAAATGGGGGTCAAAGTGTGCCATTTTGGTCCCAAAAGCACTTTTT